TACAATCAGTCATGGAGGAATTTGACACGTTGATGCCAATCACTAAAAATGTGGACAAACAACAAGAACACAGACAGACGTTGTTTCTAGTTCTTACACTTGCTGGACTCTCTACTGACCATGATTCAGTGCGTGATCAGATTTTAGCTAGTCCTACAATTCCTACAGTTGATGAATTATTCTCTCGTCTACTTCGTATTGCTGCGCCTCCTAGCCACAAAGTAGTTTCATCACCGACCTTTGATTCCTCTGCTCTCGCATCTCAAACTATAGAAAAACGAGTATATCAATCTATGGAGAATCGACGAGGAGGAGGTCGTCTTGGAAAACCTCGATCCAAGTGTAGTTATTGTCATAAGTCTGGACACACTCGTGACATATGTCATAATTTGCATGGTCCACCACCCAGTTATGATCCTGCTACTCTAAAGGAATATAATGAGTTCCTTCGTAATCGTGCAAGTAAGCATACATCTTCACAAGAAGCATTTGTTGCTCCGCCTGATCGACCATCCCATAATGCTCATATTGCTCAATCAGAATATGATGAGTTCCTTCAATATCGAGGAAGTAAGCAAATGTCTCCACAAGTAGCTTCGGTTGTTCAACATGATGTTGCGGGTAATTCTTTTGCGTGTGTTTCACAGTCTAATACTCATGGATCATGGGTCATGGACTCGGGCGCTTCTGATCATGTTTCTGGTAACAAATCACTTCTGTCAGATATTGTTTATTCACAATCTCTTCCTGCTATTACTTTGGCCAATGGGATACAAACAAAACCAAAAGGGGTTGGAAAAGCCACACCCTTATCTTCTGTCACTCTAGACTCTGTTCTTTATGTCCCTGGTTCCCCTTTTAATCTAGCATCTGTTAGTCGTTTGACACGTGCCCTACATTGTGGCATAACCTTTTTTGGTGATTTTTTTCTCATGCAGGACCGCAGTACGGGACAGACGATTGGCACAGGACATGAATCACAAGGCCTTTACTATCTTACCTCTTCAAATTCCTTCACAGCATGCTCTGTTACAGATCCTCCGGACCTCATTCACAAACGTTTGGGACATCCGAGTCTATCTAAACTGCAACAGATGGTGCCTAGTTTATCTAGTTTGTCCAAATTAGATTGTGAGTCGTGTCAACTTGGGAAACACACTCGTGCCACATTTTCACGTGGTACTGAGGGTCGTTCAGAGTCTAATTTTTTCATTAGTTCATTCTGATGTTTGGGGTCCTAGTAGAGTTAGTTCCACCTTAGGATTTCGTTATTTTGTTAGTTTCATTGATGATTATTCGAGATGTACTTGGGTTTTCTTAATGAAAGATCGTTCTGAGTTATTTTCTATATTCAAAAGTTTCTTTGCTGAAATAAAAAATCAATTTGGTGTTTCTATTCGTACTTTTCGTAGTGATAATGCCTTAGAATATTTATCATCCCAGTTTCAGGAGTTTATGTCTCACCAAGGAATTATTCACCAAACATCTTGTCCATACACTCCTCAACAAAATGGTGTAGCGGAAAGAAAGAATAGGCATCTCATTGAGACTGCTCGCACTCTCCTCATTGAATCCCATGTTCCGTTGCGTTTTTGGGGTGATGCAGTCCTTTCATCTTGCTATTTAATTAATAGAATGCCCTCATCTTCTATTTCGAATCAGGTTCCACATTCCATACTTTATCCACAGTCACATCTTTATTCTATCCCTCCTCGTGTATTTGGGAGCACATGCTTTGTTCATAACTTAGCCCCAAGAAAAGATAAATTAGCCCCTCGTGCTCTTAAATGTGTCTTTCTTGGTTACTCTCGAGTTCAAAAAGGGTATCGTTGCTATTCACATGATCTCCGCCGATATTTTATGTCTGCCGATGTAACATTCTTTGAATCTCAACCTTACTACACATCTTCTGATCATCTTGATATCTCTGAGGTCTTACCCATACCTCAGGTCTTACCTGTACCGACTTTTGAGGGACCTACGGTATCTTCTCTATCTCCAGTTATAGTGCCACCACTCCTAACTTATCATCGACGTCCTCGTCCAGCAATAGTCTCAAATGATTCATGTCATGCGCCGGACCCTGCTCCTACTGTGGCCTTGCCCCCTGCTAGCCAATCGATTGCACTTCAAAAAGGTATACGATCTACTCGAAATACTAATCCCCATTATACTTTCTTGAGTTATCATCGTTTATCTTCACCCCATTATGCCTTTGTATCATCTTTGTCCTCTATTTCCATCCCTAAGACTACAGGAGAAGCACTTTCTCATTCTGGATGGAGGCAGGCTATGATTGATGAGATGTCTGCTTTACATTCGAGTGGTACTTGGGAGCTTGTTTCCCTTCCTACAGGTAAGTCTACTGTTGGTTGTCGTTGGGTTTATGCGGTCAAAATTGGTCCAGATGGTCAAGTCGATCGGCTTAAGGCTCGCCTTGTTGCTAAAGGGTATACTCAGATATTTGGGCTAGATTATAGTGACACTTTCGCTCCTGTGGCCAAAATAGCATCAGTCCGTCTTTTTCTATCTATGGCGGCCGTTCGTCATTGGCCTCTTCATCAGTTGGACATTAAGAATGCTTTTCTGCATGGTGATCTTGAGGAAGAAGTCTATATGGAGCAACCACCTGGTTTTGTTGCTCAGGGGGAGTCTAGAAGCCTTGTATGTCGATTGCGTCGGTCACTATATGGTCTAAAACAGTCTCCTCGAGCTTGGTTTGGAAAGTTCAGCACAGTAATTCAAAAGTTTGGCATGACTCGTAGTGGCGCTGATCACTCTGTGTTTTATCGGCATTCAACACCAAATCTGTGTATTTATTTGGTTGTTTACGTTGATGATATCGTTATCACCGGCAATGATCAAGTTGGTATCGCTAATTTGAAGCAGTATCTCTTTCAGCATTTCCAAACTAAAGACCTTGGCAGATTGAAGTATTTTCTTGGTATTGAGGTTGCTCAGTCTAGATCAGGTATTGTTATTTCTCAACGCAAGTATGCTTTAGACATTCTTGAGGAGACAGGAATGATGGGATGTAAACCCATTGACACTCCTATGGATCCGAATGTTAAACTCCTTCCAGGACAGGGGGAGCAACTCAGTAATCCTGAAAGGTATAGACGGTTGGTTGGAAAGTTGAATTACCTCACTGTGACTAGACCGGACATCTCTTTTCCTGTGAGTGTTGTAAGTCAGTTTATGACTTCTCCTTGTGATAGTCATTGGGATGCAGTTGTTCGTATTCTGCGATATATAAAGTCAGCTCCTGGTAAAGGACTACTCTTCGAGGATCAAGGCCATGAGCATATCACCGGATATACAGACGCTGATTGGGCAGGATCACCCTTTGATAGACGTTCTACATCCGGATATTGTGTCTTAGTTGGAGGTAATTTGGTGTCATGGAAGAGTAAGAAACAAAGTGTGGTTGCTCGATCCAGTGCAGAAGCAGAATATCGAGCAATGGATGTAGCAACTTGTGAGCTAGTTTGGATCAAACAGTTGCTTGGAGAACTGAAGTTTGGAGAAACCGGTCATATGGAACTTGTGTGTGATAATCAAGCGGCCCTTCATATCGCATCAAATCCAGTGTTTCATGAGAGGACTAAGCACATTGAGATTGATTGTCACTTTGTAAGAGAAAAGATACTCTCAGGAGATATTGTTACCAAATTTGTGAAGTCAAATGATCAACTTGCAGATATCTTCACCAAGTCTCTTACCGGTCCTCGTATTAATTACATTTGTAACAAGCTAGGTACATATAATTTGTATGCACCAGCTTGAGGGGGAGTGTTAGAATAGAATAGGAAAACACAATCCTACACAAACTAGGAATAGTTTATAGTCTCCTATTTGGTAAGGAATTGTATTATATAGTGTCTATAAATAGGGTTCTCTATGTAATTATTACAACAACAATTCAATAATATTCTTTTCCTATATTTCTCACAAAAATGATATGAGATCAGTGGAACTGCAGTGCCTAAAAGTTGATGATAACTATGATATCTAAGCTCAGACTTTTACGAGAATGGCATGACAATGAAGATGCAATACATAGAATTAAAATATGATGATTTAAATGGAAGACTGTTATGAAAGTGTTATGCAGTAGAAAGATACCTTTTTTTTGAAACTGTAGAAAGATACCTTACAAAGAGAAAGGCAAATTGTACATATTAGTTATGAGACTAGAATGACTTATGGGAGTGAATTGTGAATGTTGAGGCTCATCATTTACCCACGATATGAATGTCATAGAAATGTGGATGCCAAACTAGATGTTCTGGCATATAGTTAGACAATATTAGAAATGGCCACATCCGACAAAGGGTGAAGGTAGCACATGTATAGGATAAAATAAGAGAAAGGCTTGCATTATCAACAAAAAGAAGAAGAAAAAGGCCTTGAGATAATTTGGTATGTCCCACCTCCCGATGAACCCTCAGTAGATGCGACGATATGATGACTAAAGTGATTAAAAGAAAGGGATGGGTAGACCTAAACAGATGGAGAGAATTTTTCTTGATATACCTATACTATCCCGGAATCAATGCGGACATAGCTAAGAACCCAAAGGGTAGCGGCTGCGGGTTTCCCTTGTCATCAAAAAAAAAAAAATCAATGCAGACATAGCTAAGAACATAATAAGATGGAAGAAAAGGTCCCATCTAGGTGATACCAACTAGTTTGGATAAGCCTTTGTTATTGCTTATACTCATATCGGCTTGGCAAGCGACGGGTCACGAGAGTCTTCTTATTATGATCAGATACATGTAGGGTCGTTTACAACAAGTATGAAACTAAGAAAATCTCTAGTTTTTAAAATAATTACTTCATATCACGAAATGGTGTGCCTTTATTTCTCAGTCCAACACTAACACACCCGTAGGGACCATGGTTTTGTGTACTTAGCAGGCACTTCAAAACCCACAAATAAAGAAGACTTGCAGCAGTAATTGGGAAGGGGTGTTGAGCTTCATGCAAAAATAACATACCAAGTATAGAAGTGCTGGTTGTGGCGAGTGAGTCAAAATACCAGCTGCTAAGGCAGTAACCAGTCCAAGGGAATATCCTGCTAGCGCATACCATATGTAAAACCCCTTTGGGGATGATATCTCCTCCTTTGGAGGCGGTATATCCATGATGTTTTCAGAGTCCTTGCTCTTTCTATGGTCAAAACAGAGAACCAATGCTAAAAGCATCGAAGGAATAGCCTGAAAACACATAAAACAAATGAAAGCTTAGTCCACGTCAAACTATTTAGCGGATTTATGGAAGTATCGCATCGTGAAGGACTAATCACAAACAAGAGAATCTGTGGAGATCTTTACTGTATTCACTTAACACTCAATAAATGGAAATACATATCAGGATTCATGTGTATATGCATTATGCGGTTAGCCATAGATACTTAACATTGAATATTAGAGACTTATCTTTGGAACAATTGCCGACAGAATCGCACAAAATTTCAAAAATTGGGAAAAAGAAAAGTTTTTTAGGGTTTTTCCATGTTAAGCATGGCTCACTTTTTGCTCACCGTCAGTATAAAGTGTCTTTGCACAAACACAATTATTACCAGATAAACCTGCAATATGTGTTTGGTGGTGAAGGTTCCATGGAAAAAGTAGGATTAGGGAGAAAATTTTGTATTGATCTTATCCTAAGTTATATGACAGAATTTTCACTTGGGGGTGATAATAACTATATAACTTTCACAATTTAAAAATTAATTACTTACTCAGATTTAAAACTTCCATATGACATACTCGTTACTAGATCAAATTTACAAACTTCTACCTTCATACTTTTCATTACTAGAAAATGTAACATATAAGCCTAATTAATCGATCAAACTATGTCAACATTAAATGTATATCATAGACCATAGGAAAAAGTGAGTATTTTCTTTTTTGATACATTCTTTCTTCTGTATCCTTTCGGACCCTTCCGGGAACATGTGAAATAACATATATCGCATTTGCATATATTACCTAATCAAACAATGCATTTGCATAAATAAAACAGCAAAAACTGTCTTGAGGTCTTTTATTGATCCAACCCAAAATAATAAACAGAAAAGCAAAAGAAATAGGGAAGAGTACAGAAATTCATTTACTAATTAATAATAACCAAGAAAACAAGAAAAGATAGAGACTATGAGGAAGAAGGTAAATATAGCCAACAACACTAAGAAATGGGTCCAAATTTGCCACCTCAAAGCTGTGATGAAAGCCCTACCAGAAACACAGATCATCAATCATGATCTCTTGTTTACGCCCAAAAGATCCACTTAACTAACAGAAAAATATATGAAATTCCCAGTGCCTACGCAGCTACCAATCATATGCATCCCACTTCCTTGATAAGCCTTTGGGTAAGCACAATATCCCATAGCTTACCCTAACATGAAAAAGGTCCATCTGTTCATCATACAAGCCTACACATCTAGAATTTCTGTAACTGAAATGCATGGTTTGACTACTCACAATTGTCTTCTCTTCCCTTCTACTTTAATACTACATTCTTGAGAGAGTGAAAAAGAGCTATTACTGTCAGAATATGAAACCTAGTGCCTATATATGGTTCAATTACACACAACTGCTGATATCCTTTAACATAGATTTTACAGGAATTCCAAACATCATTATTTATTTATTTTTATGACAAGGGAAACCCGCAGCCGCTACCCTTTGGGTGCGCACAGGGTAAAAACCCCGCTCCTATGCAGTAGCTCGCAAACCACACAGGAGAGGTAACATGCACTAGGCAAGCGCGGTGCTAACAAAAAGAGTATAAAAGGAGACATTCGTAGACCATTTTACTTATTTCACAAATAGGAAAATGTATTTACCATGTCACCAAGACCCAGCATCATGAAATCAACAGCAGCATATCCAGGCACTACACCACCCAGTAAATTTCTGGGGAACACAATCTTGACAGGCAACTCGAGTTTTTTGGTTATCAACTGCAATCCAGGAAGGCTCAATCTATTCGCCACTATGTGTACAGGATTGGATGATTGCTGGGTTGCTACAGACACCATGACATTTGCGCCAAAGAATCTCTCGGAATAGAAAACCCAGAATATATCATATACAAACAAGCAGCCAAGGAGCATTGCACAAACCTTAATGTTAGGAAGGCGAACATGGCTCACAAAAGCAATACAAAGAGAGATGCCCAGCAAATTATTCAGTATCCAATGCCCAGAGACAAGCCATGCTATAACCGTGCCAATGCATAGCAACGTCAAAAGGCCTTGGATCCTAGTAAATGGCTTCGAACAACATCGAGATACAAAAGGGTCAGCTAAGCCAAACCGGGACTTGATTTGGGCAATATAAGGGAATAGGCAAAAGTAAAGAGATGATGCTGAGGCAACTGCAGTAAACACAGTGAGGATCTGTGAGACAGAAGAGAACAAATAGAACATCATAAGCAAGCTGCAAGAGCTCACTACCGGGATCATAAGAGCCTGAGACCTGTCTAAGGTAATTGATGCTTCAGACCAATCACGATTTCTCTCCATTTCTTTGCCATAGTTTAAAGCCCGGAACGCAGATGCAAATGACACAGCTATGGCAGTCAGAATAAGAGCGATGGGTGCTGGTTCAAGCAAATACACTAACTTCCATAAAGACTCCATTCTTAACAAAGTTGTACACTTTTCCTAGTGCTGCCTATAAACACTTCCTTTCAGAAGTATAATAAGGTTAAAAATCAAACACCGCTTCTTATTTCATAAACTCCCAGATTTTGCTTTTCGAAAGATGCTTAAGGTCTCCAAACACCTCGTTCACCTACTGTTTTCTCTACTTCTTTTCCTTCCACTATATAGAAGTTGCTCCTTTACCTTGACCAATCGTCACTGCAATTCAAATAAACCTGAAAGGACAAAGAACTAAACTGTTGAATTTTTTTTGGTAGTAATAATTCACACATACTCTTTACCTTGATCAATCAACAACAACAACATACCCAGCGACCAGCGTAATCCCACAAAGTGGAGTCTGGGGAGGGTAGAGTTTACACAAACCTTACCCCTTCCTCAAAGGTTGAGAGGCTTGAGAAAAAAAAAGCAACTGAAGTACAAGAAACAGCATCTAATTTACATTGATCAATCGTCCTTCAATTTTTATTTTTATTTTATGAAAATGCTTATTCATGTAGCTTCATCAACAAGATGAAATTAACTTTATCTAATAACAAGCAATCGGTACCGACAACTCCACGTTCCATTACATCGACAAAGCCGTATTCTACCCAATCAACTAAAGGCGAAGAACACTCAACAACAAACGATCTCGATGATGATGATAACGAAAATGAATGAATTATATCACACGAAAATATGCAAATTGGGGGTTTTTTAACAGTGAATTTACGAGATCTTTCTAATGTTGGACTTACTTGATGAACTTGCCGGAACTCGTCTTTGTCCCACGCCTCGACGATTGTTTATCGAACGTTTCAACAGAGAAGAGAAGACAACTGTGATCTCTGGAGATTCAGTGTATCAGTGGGAGTTGCTATAGAATGAAAGGGAATATCGCCCCCATTTTGTTTTTGTGTTGGTAACAAATTACGTAAGTATTAAGGAGCGTTTGGGAATTGGGAATGAATTTTTTTTGCTTGAGGTCAATTTTGAAAAGAACTTTTTCCTATAAAATTTTCAAAAAAGTTTTTTGTTTAAGAATTTAAAAAAATAATAACGATAACAATATTTTCACGTTAAAACACTCATAAAAAATATAAAAATAATTTTAATTATTTTCATAGCTAAACATAATTCTAGTTTTCAGGTATTATTTTTTTTACTTTAAAAATGAAATTATTTTTCCTATTTTTCAATGAAACATAGTTAAAAGGCCAACTAAATTTAATGTTTTTGTCTCATATTAATTTTAAGATGGATTATTAAAAGGTAGAAATTTAAAATGAAATTATTTTAAGGGTGAAATTTTTTAAAATTGAATTTGAATAATAACAACAATAGAACAAGATCTTTCACTAAGAAAAAATAAAATACATGAAAAACTTTAGAAAAAAAAATCAATATATATACACACATTATTATTTGTTTTTTCTATTTTTTAATGCATGCAAAACACATATTAGCTATTAAAACTTTAATCATTGTTAACATGTGATCAATCATATATGAAAGCAATTGAAAGGATGTTAAGTGAATTTGATACACTTGTTATTATATTGACAAGTTGATTATGGAAGTTTGTTCGAGACATAGAAATTTATGTTTCAAATTTAAATTTAGTTGGAGTAGATTTGAGTTCTAAAATTTTAAAAATAAAATTATTTTTGCCATTAACTTGGAAATTCACATAGCTGAAATTATATCAATCAATTTTTACATTTAGTTCAAGAATTCTGTCATATAAAGTCACTTAAGTGCATATTTGAAAAATAAAAATAGTGTTAAATAGATTTGTTAGATTTATAGTGTTTTACGATAAATTGGATTGTATTTTGTTCTTCATGATATGTGAAATTTATATTTCAAATTAGAGTTTATTTAGAGGATATTTGAGTGCTCAATCATTTGTCGAATTGTTGAGATTCAAAATATAAATTATTATTTTTTGTCTAGACACATATAACTGAAGTTTCGTTTTATATGTATTCTAATCAAGTATGAATAAAATACAATCACACATGAAAAAATATTCAGACACAGATGACAAGAAATTTAATCAATTTTCACATGTATCTTCATAAAAATGGTCAATACATTTGTAAATCATACTAAATATCTTACGAAAACTAATGAGACTTCATCAAAATAGTTGGTTGTTAAGTAGTTAAGAGGTGGTTAGGATGATTAAGGGTAGTATAGTCTTTTCTCTTAAAGTTGTTATAACTAATCCTTTCAATAGTTAGTTACATAAACAACTATAAATACATGTTCATGTAATTGTACAAGTTAGCCTTTTGAGCTCATAAATGGATTTCTTCTTTCTTCTCTTCTAGCAGTTTCTAGTAGCTTCTGTAAATCGTGTCTACGTTCATGGTATCAGAGCTATACACAGTGACGAGCTGTGATAGGCGTTTAGGTTGAAGAATCAGAGAGTTGCTTTGTCGATTCACAGATTCGAATCAGAGAATTGCTTTATCAATTCACAGATTTATCAGATTCTCGGTTGATCTGCAGATTGGAGTTCAAGTCTGTTATTAACTGAGTTTGATTCTTATTCCGCAACAATTTTTTGATTACTATGTCTCCAGATCGAGTAGCTGAAGAACTAAATCAAGGTATTAACAATGGAAAAATTGTTGGTTCTGGTTCCTTCGTTTTGCCCTCTAATACAGTCTCATCATCTCAAGGTATTGATTACAATCATCCTCTGTTTCTTAGTCCTACTGATGTGAGTGGTGTTAGCCTTATCTCTTTTCAATTACTTGGCATTGAGAATTATACATTGTGGAATCGATCTATTACACTAGCTCTATTGGGAAGAAATAAAATAGGATTGGTGGATGGATCCTGTAGAAAGGAAGTTTATGGTGAAGAACTGTGGGGGCAATGGGAGAGGGTAAATGCAATTGTGTTATCTTGGTTAATGAACTCAGTCTCTAAGAGTCTTCTTAGTGGTGTTGCTTTTGCTTCGAGTGCTTTGCAAGTCTGGAATGACTTGAAAGAGAGATTTGATAGAGTAGATGGCTCTAGAACCTATAGTCTTCACAAAGACATTGTAACAATACAACAAGGCACTAATTCAATTTCTGAGTATTATACAAGACTTAAAACCTTGTGGGATGAGTCTGAACTTTTAGTGCCTGCACCTTGTTGCAACTATGATAAATCGAAAGGATTTGTGGCTCACATGAATAGGCAGAAGTTGTATCAGTTTTTGATGGGGTTACATGAGTCCTTTCAACAAGCCAGAAGTCAGATTCTGATGCTAAATCCTCTACCTACTATTAATCATGCTTATGCTATGATAGTAGGAGATGAAAGCCAAAAAGCAGTGATGTCTCACAGCAATAGCATGGGAATGAACACAGTTAGTGCTGACTCTGTGGCTATGTATTCTAAATCTGCATCCACCTCAGGTGTAAATCAGAGATTCAAAAGGAACTCAGTCTTGATTTGTGACTTTTGTAAGTGTAAAGGTCATAGCAAGGAGTATTGCTACAAGATAGTAGGGTATCCACCTGACTTCAAGTCAAAAAGGAAGCCACAAGGAAATGCATCAGATGGTACTCCTGATCAGGTTCACTTCTCCTATGGTATGAATACAAATGTGCAGGTACCAGGATGGGGAAGAAAAACTGATAGCTCTCAGAGTGATCATGGTGTACCAGGTCCTTCCAATTCTTCTAAGTTGCTGAGTCAAGCTGAACAGGATGTGAAGCAGTTGTTGAAGGGTCGCACTTTCACAAAGGATCAATATGATCACATTCTCAAAGGTTTTCAGCACAAGACAGACATTGCTTCATTGGATTGTAATGCTACACCTGCTGCTGCTCATACTGCAGGTAAATCATTACATGTTCCTGATATTAACAGAGTGTGGATTGTAGATACTGGTGCTACTAACCATATGGTATCTGATTTAGATATGTTTATCAAAGGCACTGTTTCGAAGTTAGAAGTTCCTAAGGTTGTGTACTTACCTAATGGAGATAGTACTCATGTGACACATGTAGGCTCATGTGCATTAAGAGATAATGGTATTATTTCCAATGTGTTGTATCTACCTGACTTCCAATACAATTTGTTGTCTGTCAGCAAATTAACAAAGGAGCTAGACTGCTCAGTTACTTTCTTCCCTAACTGCTGTGTTTTCCAGGAGCTTTACAGTGGAAAGGTGAAGCAAATTGGTGAAGAAACAGGTTGTCTGTATACTCAGAAGCATGTCAGTAATCAAAGAGATATAGCTTTAAGTGTGTCTCAAGTTTCTACAGATATGGAGTTGTGGTATCAACGGCTAGGACATGTCTCCTCTGGTGTTCTTGCTAGAATGTTTTCTATGAATAAAGAAAGCCAGTGTAAGGTGTCTAAGTGTTTAGTTTGTCCTTATGCTAAGCAAACTAGACTTAGTTTTCCTACTAGCAGTATCAAAAGTTGTGACTGTTTTGAGTTGATTCATGTAGACCTTTGGGGTCCATATAACACAACTACTTTTGATGGAAACAAGTATTTTCTTACTATAGTGGATGACTTCTCAAGAATGACTTGGTTGTTTCTTCTTAAACATAAATATGATGTTTGTGCTTCCTTACAATTGTTTGTACAATATGTTCATAATCAATTTGCCAAGACTGTTAAGACAATAAGGTCTGATAATGGCACTGAGTTTGTCAACTCTACTTGTGCAAGCATGTTTCAAAGGTTAGGTATTATACATCAGAGATCTTGTCCATATACACCCCAGCAGAATGGGGTGGCTGAAAGAAAACACAGGCATCTTCTTGAAGTTACAAGAGCAATCAGATTTCAAGCAAAGATTCCTATCAAGTACTGGGGGCATTGTGTATTAGCAGCAGCCTACATTATCAATAGACTTCCTAGCAGTGTACTTGATTTTCAAACTCCCTATGAGAGATTATATGGTAGCAAACCATTACTGTCTCATTTTAAGACTATTGGTTGTTTATGCTTTGCCAAAAGTCTTACTGAACATGATAAACTAATGCCTAGAGCCAGGTCTGCTATTCATATGGGATATTCAGCAACACAAAAAGGGTACATTCTTCTGGATCTTACCACCAAAGTTTTTTTTGTAAGCAGAGATGTTATATTTAGAGAGGACATGTTTCCCTTTGCATCTGATAAGCATCCTGGCAGATACCAGCTATTCACAGATATATTCCAAGACAGTTCAGCTGTCAATTTTCAAGAGTTGTCTGAGCCAGCTTATGTATCTTATAATCCTGAGC